TCTGCGCGTTCACGATTGCGTGCGTGAGCGACCAACTCGTTCCCGAGTGAATATTTTACTGAACAGCGCCCCCTGGTCACAACACCGCCCTTCATAAACGAAAGTGAAAGTGCTTCATTGTTGTGTCGGCATTTTAAACAGACAGAATCCATCATTTACCAACGCAGAACAACTTTAAATCTTTAATGTTTTCACAAAACCTGAAAAGTTTATGTGAATCTGTATATATATATATATATATATATATATATATATATATATATATATATATATATATATATATATCATAATCAAACTAATATTTATTTTTTATTATGTTTTCAACAACATATACATGACAATATAGTAAACAAAACAATGCCAGGGTGATAGAAAGTAAATGATAACAACAATACGTAAAATAAAATAAAACAAACATAAGAATAAGAGTATAAATACTTAACTAAACTTCTTACAGATATAAATAAGCAAGACCTTTACATTAATCAAAATTATTGAAACTAGAGCACAGTTGGACAGTTTTAACGGCCTTTCGATTAGCGCTATGCTGAATAGTGCAAAAGTAATTTTTCAGTTCCTTATAAAACACAGTAAAACAAGGTTTATTGTTGGAAAATTTACACTTATGAATATGAAACTTAATTAACAAAATAAATTGGTTAATAACAAAAGCTTCATTATTCAAATTATCATAATTAAAATATCCAAAAATTACATTTTCATAATGCAGATTAAAGTTAAAGAGTACCCTTTTCTTTATAAAAACAGAAGCAAGCTTTTTTTAACATAACCACAGTGCCAGAAAAGGTGGGGTACAGTTTCCAAAGGCAAAGAACAAAAAGAGCAATTTATATCAATATCCTTTTTAAATTTACTTAGGAAATGTTTAACCGGATAGAATTTATTAATTAGTTTAAAAGATATTTATTTTATCTTATTTGTAACCAAAAATTTGTGAGGCACTGACCAAATACTTTCACATTTAGGAATTATTAAAAAATTATTCCAATAGGTAGTAGAGCAAGGTTTAGATACAACTTGATTTACAAATAGAGAGCGAATAGATTTATTTTTAGACTATGAGAAATAAATTTTACCACATACTGTATCAACTAGATTGATTATGGGCTTATGAATCCAAGTTACACCTCTAAATAAGGAAACAATATTAATCAAATGAATAATGACTACGGTTTTTCTTTTGTTTACTCGTGAGGAACTTCAGATTTCGTTTTGCAGCTGCTGATCTATTCC